CACACAGACAATGCAAAGGACACGGTAGTACTTAATTTCATATCCCATGTAGAAATCATGGGGTTCTCCCAGGCAGTCTCTGGACCCACACATATAGCAGGACATATGCTGGATCCTGGCATCAGCCTAAGAGTGGATTTTGGAGACATTACTAACATATCACACTACTGGTCTCACCACCTCCAGCTGGCAAAGATCAGACTTCCCTCCTTCCCACCACAGTAGTGAACAACCAAAGCTTGTCCTTCCCCAAGACTCCTGTACCTCTGGGTTTAAAACTCACTGTAGGAGAACAAGCCACCCAAATAGAAGGTGCCGATGAATTCGTATAACAGTACAGTCAGTCACCTGATGTCCATTACCATCGATGCCTTGGTCCTATGCTACCCATTCTCCCCTCACCAGTGGAGAATATGACCAAGGGTCACAGAAGAGCAACAGCAGATGAGTCAGAGGCAGAAAGTTAGAATGCCAGTGGCACAGAAAGGATTCTGAATCGATCCACCACAAACCGCTCTAACAGAACTTTGCCTCTGCAATAAAGGAGCAAGATGAGCCTTCTACTTCTCTGCAATGGATGCAGCACGGTCACGGCCAGCAGAGCTATTTCAGTCACCCAGACTGCACTGCCCAAATGCCAGCCCCAAGCGTCAACTGCTGTGAAGAGCTGTCAGTGTATTTTACTGATAAGATCAACTGAATGTGTATGGAGCTAAGTGGGAAAGAAAATTCCATCCCTGACCCGATTGTATTATCTACTCTACCAACCCTGAATGAGTTTGGCCCCATCACACATGCCAAAGCTCAGGAAACCCTGAAAAATATTAGAGCCACAATCTATGAATCCATGCCCCTCCTGGCTGGTGAAAACCAATGAAGAGCAACTATGTACACTATTAATGGAAATAATCAGTGCCTCCTTCAGAGAAGGATATGTACCAAACTCCATGAAAGGTACAATAATAGTTTCTCCAGTAGTCAAGAAACTAACCTTTGGACAACACTCCAACTACTGTCCTGTCTCCAACCTCCCAGTCCTGGGCAAGATAATTGAGAAAGTAGTAACAGCTAAGCTCCAAAAAATGAGATCAACCAGCATCCTGGAAGCCTCACAATCAGTGTTCAGACCAGAGCTTAGCACAAAGATGACTCTAGTGATACTGAAAGATGATCTCCTCATGGCAGTAGACACAGGTAAGTTCTCCACACTCATACTGCTGGACCTCTCTGCAGCCTGTGAAACAGTGAACTGCAAGGTTCTACTAACCCACTTACGTGACATAGCTGGAGTACGTAATACAGCACTACAGTGACTCCAGTCATTCCTTCCCAGCAGAGTTTAGAGAGTTGTGATTGGTATGTGGGCCATGAGTAACGAAGGCCCTAACCTGCAGGGTTCCACAGAGAACCATACAATCCCTTTGTCTTTTTGATAGCTACATGAGACCACTGGGAGAGAGCAAAGCTGCCAACGGTATGCAGTTACCACCACTACTTAGATGGCAGACTATGTCTACAAGAGATCAGCTCTTTGATGAGGATCAGCTGGCTCAAAGGCCTAGGCAACATTGAAATGCTGCTATTCAGAAAGGGAAAAGACTTTGAAGAACTAGCTAAGACGTTATCTCCACTTCCATGAAGGCTCACAGCCCCCGTTCATCTAAGTGGTGCAAAGTCCCAGATTATTGTTCAGAGATTCCAAGGCCAAAAGGAACCATTGTGATCATCTAGTCTGGCCTCTTGCATAACACAGTCCAGAGAACACTCCCAAAATTATTCCTAGAGCAGATCTTTTAGAAAAACATCCAATATTGATTTTTAAATCCACCACGACCCTTGGTAAGTTGTTCCAATGGTTAATCACACTCTCAGTTAAAAATTTACATCTTATTTCCAGTCTGAATTTGTCTAATTTCAACTTCCAGCCATTGGATCTCTGCTCAATTGATGAGCCCATTATTAAATATTTGTTTCCCATGCAGATACTTACAGATTGAAATCACCCCTTAACCTTCTCTTTGTTAAGCTGTATAGAGTGAGCTCTTTTAGTCTATTGCTGTAATGTCACTTAAGGGCAATACCCATTAACACAAACTCATAACAGCAAGGGCATGTCCAGTTTAAAAAAACCTCCACACATTATGTTCAGTTTCACTTTGAAATTGTGCCCCTCTACAAACAATTTCAATGCACCTTCAGCACATACAATAACACAATACACTCCACATATTCCTAACCATCAAACTAGAATGCAAAACCTTAACTCTGACTTCATACTTCTATGATTCTATGATTTTCCTAGGGAAAACTGGAAGGGGACCATACATCAAACATTCTAACAATGCCTGGATGTCTAACAGTATATATGTTAATGTTGCTGAAGTTGGAGTTAAGATTTTGCATTCTAGTGTGTTGGTGAGGAATGTGGTATGTATATTGTGTTACTGTATATGCTGAAGATATAAGGGAGTTGTTAATAAAGGAAACAGTCTTTCAGCACAAGTGGTGAATATGATGTTAAAGCATGTCAAAGGAAGATACGTTAGCTGGATATTGCCTTACTTTTAAGCATCTGTGTGTGTGGGGGGGGGGGACCCAAGCTTTCTTAATTTGTTTTGAACACAGATTTTTATTTGTGAGGATACAGGCACTGGTGCATGGACAGCCTGATTCTGGTAACTGCTCTGAGATGGGGCACTCCAGAGTGTGAAGGAGCCATACCCCAGGAGAACTCAGCTGTTTTTGTTGTTTGTTGTTTTTAGCAATTTTAACTCATTTGAAATTCTCTAGCAGCTTTGCTGTTTGAGAATGGAGTGTAAAAGAGTCCTTGCAGTCATCATCGTCAAAAGCCAGACTGTGAAGGTTGCCCATGGTGAGAAAGCAGATAGGAACAAGAAGGGAATGGTTTTCAAAGAGCATTGATTTTGAGTTACTTGGTTCCCTTGTTTTATAAGAAAAGCTGTTTCTCGAGCTCTTTGTAGTTATGCATTGTTGGCTACATTCCTCAAAAATAGTATATCCCTTTAAATGTAATTTTATTGTCTAAGATATTCCCCCATCCTCAGTCATATTTCAAAATGTTTGTCTCTAAGATGTACTTATTGCCATGTTTGTTTAACTTTATCTCCTTCGTTAATCCATTTCTTACTAACCTAAAGCCACTGCTTTTCGTTTTTAATATAGTAAGTTGCTTCCCTAGGGATGTTTAGTCCAGGACTTGTCCCTGTAATGGGACTGTTTGTTTTCTTTACCCCTTTGCAATTGCCTGCTGTAACATTTGTAGTATGTGTTAAGTAATCCTTAAGGTAACATTTTTATTATGTCATAAAAAGTGCATGGCAAATATATTATAACTCATGGAATTTGTTTGTTTAAAAATGGAAGGATAATTTATTGAGTGTGTTACATGAGACCTGCTCCCCTATTAGAGTGTAGAAGTGCTGCTTATTTAGAAGTATGTTCTATTGAGAAAAACCACGGTCTCTGGCATGCATAGAAAGTATGAGTGTGGTTGGCTAGAAGTGACATCATAGTTTATGTACTCAATAAAAATTTAATTAAGTCATTACAGGAGTTGCAGTCATCATTTAGCCCTCTGATTTCTTCTGTTTAGTTTTTTATTAAACATTCAGTAATAGCCAGTCACCAAATCTTGATGGCCTATAAAATATCTGCATGAATTTTAATAGCTCCTATAAATGGAAAAATATGAGTAACTGACATAAAAGGAACATTTTCCTTGTGGTTGCACTACATGTATTCTTATAAAAATCAAATTATGAAAAAGGATAGTGATTTAATGGAAGAGTATATAAACAATAGATTTGATGGCATGACATAAAATAATTAGAGTTTTGAGAGAGCAACTATTATATAGGCACAACCACTAAGGCTATCAGGATATTATGGGGACTTTGGTGACATCTTTGATGAAACTCCAGCAGTCTGTTCTATCATCAGAGTTCTGAGATTTTCTTATAGCTGTATTCATAATTTTCCTTTGCTGTGTAGTGTCTGTATTTGACATGGTATTGCAACCCCCAAAACAGTAATGCACTTTCCATAGTAAACACATTTTTTTAAACACTATACTGATCCCCAACATCCCCAACTGTGATTGCACAGTCTCAGACAGTAGCCGAGCCACCTCATTCAGTCCTCACATCTGTGAGGCAGAGAGAAAGCAAAAAAAGAGGATCAAAGAAATTGAACGACCTGGTAACTTGCACCCAAGAGTTTTTAAAAATTGGCCAAGTAGCTCTCTGAGCCATTGATGCTAATATTTAACAAATCTTGGAATACTAGGGAAACCCAAGAGGATAGGGGGAAAAATAATGTTGAGGCAATAATTTAAAAGGGAAACGCAATGACCCAGGAAACTGTAGGCTGGGTGGCCTGACGTTGATCTTGGGCAATACATAGGCTGACATGGAAGCACCCAGTATTAATGAAATGATGGTAGCACGATTAATGCCAATCAGCATGGCACTTGTCAAACAAAGCAATATTAATTTTGATAAGATTACTGGGTGAAATGCTGTGACTTGTGTTTATGCAGATCAGACTAGCTGCTGCTAATGGCTTTAATATCTGTTAATCTGTGGAAGCAATAGTAACAGGCAGTTTGGGGCCAGGGAGGAATTGGGAGGAATGTGAGACTAATGAGAGAGCATCCCAGGCTGGGGACTCTCCTACCCTCTGAGCACACAGGGAAGATACTAATGGTAGTTTTCATTTCTACAAAGTCTGTGCCAGCTTATAATGCATATACCTCTCCACCCCGCAGCCTACATGAACCACACTGTTCACGCCCAAATCCCCCCCCTCACAAACTGCACTGCTCTCATCTTCTCCCACCCCATGAACCACATTGCTCTCACCTGCCCGGAACCCCATGGACCGTGCTGCTCTCCCGCCATCCCCACGGACGGCACTGCTCTCACCACTCCCATCTCTCAGGACCTGTACAGATTATCGTATATTGTTGTTTTATTTTTCAGATTGATTCTTTTACTCTAAAACAAAGTATGAGAAGCATGACAGAAAATTTCTATGCAGCTATATTTGGATATGATGAGGTAAGAGCATACAGTCGACCCTGCCTACAGACCAGGGCAGATGGCAATAGGCCATCTAGTGCACTGTTTTCTCCAGTGGTGCTGAAAGCTAGGTGCTTCACAGGAAGAAGTAAAACACCCAAAATATACATCATAGCGCAATGGGGACAGAATTCTTCCGGACTGTAGCAGTTGTGATCAGTTTGTGCTTTGAAACCTGACTAATGAGAGCCCTTCTAGGAGGGACAGCATGGTCTGCTGGCTGAGGCATACAACTGAGGCTATGTCTACGCTACCACATATTGTCAGTATAAGTTATGTCTCTCAGGGATGTGAATAAGCCACCACCCGAGCGACATAAGTTACACCGATCTAAGCACTGGTGTGGGCAGCACTGTCAGCAGGTGAGCTTCTCCCGCTGACATAGCTACCGCCGCTCGTCGGGGGTGGATTAATTAAGTCGACAGCTTAGAGCTGCTACACAGAGAACTTGCAGCAGTGCAACTGCATCAGTGCAGCTACACCTCTGTAAGCTCTCTAGTGTAGCCATAGCCTGAGTGGCAGGACATCTAGATTCTCTTCTTGGCTCTGCCACAGACTTATTGGCTAACCTTGGGCGAGTCACTTCCCCCCTCAGTGCCTTAGCTGATCCAGTTGTACAGTGGATATGGTATTTATTGAGCCTGTCTAATGACCCAGAAGGGTAAAAATGCACTGATGTGTGTAAGGGCTGTGTGACTCTCCGATGGAAAGCACTACATTAAGGGCAAAGTGTAGCTGTTATTTCTTTTGCCTGAGCTGATGTCACTGCAGGTGCTGTACTCATTCATAATCATCTACTTTAGTTTTTTATTTAGCTGTTTGCCTTATAAACAGTGAGTTCCACAAGGTATTGGACAGCAGAATGCATCAAGATCTTTCCTTTTATTGATTTTTAAGTGTAGCCAGGGGATGTAAATGTGTGTGTGTGTGTCTCTCTCTCTCTTTTTTTAAACCCACCCTTACATTTTAAACCCCCCACAAATGTCTTGTTAAATTAAAGGCAAATATGGATCTTTAATGTTAAGCTAATTTTTACCTAATGCACGGCTGATAGCAGCACCCTGCAGAGGACAGGCATTCAGATGTTCCAGGGATGGTCACCATATAATCTAGAGCAGTGGCTCTCAAACTTTTTTTTTACTGGTGACCCCTTTCACATAGCAAGCTTCTGAATGTGACCCCCCTTATAAATTAAAAACACTTTTTAATATATTTAACATCATTATAAATGCTGGAGGCACAGCGGGGTTTGGGGTGGAGGTTGACAGCTCGTGACCTCCCATGTAATAACTTCGCGACCCCCTGAGGGGTCCCAACCCCCAGTTTGAGAACCCCTGATCTAGACAGACTGCAGAGGTTATGAAGAACACAGACAAAGAAGCGCTACAGATCTGAATCCAGCAAAGACATCTGCCAGTGAAAATTAACTAAAAAAATCCAGATAGGCCTAAATGTCATAGAATTACCCTGTGCTCTTGCATCACAGGCTGAGGTGAAGAGCAGCACCTTATTGGCCTTCTCAGCAACAGTTATGTCATATGCCCTTTAGCTCTTGTCCTTGCCCAACGTCATCGCGGTCCCCCCCATGCTGTGCAGCAATGCTCTCTAGTCTCATAAGGAGTAAGGCTTTGCGACAGTGATCCCAAAACAGAGAAAATTGGTTTACCAGCCCGTACACAGAATTTGCTCTGTGTTTTCTCCAGTATCCACTCATCCGGCCATTTCTTTTGGACTGTTGTGTTAAGCAGTTACACACGCCTCAGGGAGAGGCAGATGTGTGGTGTATATTGCAGCTGTGTTGGTCTCAATGCTTGGAATATAGACAGATTTGAAAAAGAGACTGCAACTCCAAGAGTATGGGGCTGTAAGAGGCGTGTAATAAACTGAGACAATCCAGCCAGACAACAGCGAGTTAAATCTCACCCAAGTTTTCTGCTTGGTGTTTACATTCTCTCTGTGTACAGTGTCCAATCCTTCTCTCACTCCTTCTTTTAGGGGATTTTGTCTGATGACCACGTACTGGCAGCAGCCCTATGGAGAAACCTTTTCAACAAGCACTGTGAGGACCCCAGGCAGCTGGAACTGCTAGTGGAGTATGTGCGCAAGCAGGTGGGCAGTAGCTCAGAGCATAGCCTCTCTTACAGTTCCTAGGAAAGTAAACTTTGTATTGCTTGCTTCCCAAACAACACTGCACAGGGCTGATTACAGAAATGAGATTGTCCAAGAGTTTCATAAAATCCTGTTCCAGTTTCCCTCCCAAGTGACAATGTCTTAGTCCCTTCCCTCTACTGGAGCCTGGTGCCTTGGGTCTCTCCCTGGAAGATTTGCTTTCTTATGCTGGAGCTGGTCACAGCTTCAGATTTAAGGTTGAGGTAGAGGTTTTCAGTTTAGCAGGAATTTTAAACCTTTGGTTTCTAAAATACCTATAAAAGTGGCAAAATAATGGAATTAAGGATGTGAATTTAGGCTGATATTTCAGTTGTTCATGGTGGTTTGATAAAAATGGATTGAGACTGAGAGAATAGTAAGAGATCCAAAATAATCTCTTTTCATATTTCTCACTAAATTGTCGCACTTTTTTGGACCCATTTTACAAGAAAACTGAAACCCTCTCGGCTTTACTACACATACAGCTGCTCGTAATGAGAAAACAGCTTTTAAAACATTATTTGTACTTAAAAGACATGAAAATCTGTAAATTATGGTGTGGCACACCAAAATACAGGTTTCCACATTTCACCAATTCATCACACATGTGACTTGCCGATACATATGTTTCACACTGAAAGGGTGGAGAACCATAAGGTCAGAAAGCACAGCAGGCAGAACTGCTGCTGTAGCTGCTCCTGTTGCCCCTAATCTCCAGAAGCCATAGCTACTTTCAGGTTTAAATAGGCATAAAATGCTGTTGACACAAAGAGCCTTCTGAGGCCCACCACAGCTTCTCACTCTTTTCAGGAGGGTTGAGACCACCAGGAGCAGAGTAAGCATTGCAGTTTCTCCCTCTCATTTCCAGGAAGGTCCACTTTCATAGAATCATAGAAAATTAGGTTTGGAAGAGACCTCAGGAGGTCATTTAGTCCAACCCCCTGCTCAAAGCAGGACCAAACCCAACTAAATCATCCCAGCCAGGGCTTTGTCAAGCTGGGCCTTCAAAACCTCTAAGGATGGAGATTCCACCACCTCCCTAGGTAACCCATTCCAGTGCTTCACCACCCTCCTAGTGAAATAGTTTTTCCTAATATCCAACCTAGACCACCCCCACTGCAACTTGAGCCCATTGCTCCTTGTTCTGTCATCTGCCACCACTGAGAACAGCCTAGCTCCATCCTCTTTGGAACCCCCCTTCAGGTAGTTGAAGGCTACTGTCAAATCCCCCTCACTGTTCTCTTCTGCAGACTGAATAAGCCCAGTTCCCTTAGCCTCTCCTCATAAGTCATGTGCCCCCAGTCCCCTAATCATTTTTGTTGCCCTCCGCTGAACTCTCTCCGATTTGTCCACATCCTTTCTATAGTGGGGGAAATGATGGGGGCAGAACTGGACGCAGTACTCCAGATGTGGCCTCACCAGTGCCGAATAGAAGGGAATAATCATTTCCCTCGATCTGCTGGAATATGCTCCTACTAATGCAGCCCAATATGCCGTAAGCCTTCTTGGCAACAAGGGCACACTATTGACTCATATCCAGCTTCTCGTCCACTGTAATCCCCAGGTTCTTTCTGCAGCACTGCCGCTTAGCCAGTTGGTCCCCAGCCTGTAGCAGTGCATGGGATTCTTCCATCCTAAGTGAAGGACTCTGCACTTGTCCTTGTTGAACCTCATCAGATTTATTTTGGCCCAATCGTCCAATTTGTTTAGGTCACTCTGGATCCTATCCCTACCCTCCAGCATATCTACCTCTCCCCCCACCTTAGTGTCATCCACAAACTTGCTGAGGGTGCAATCCATCCCATCGTCCAGATCATTAAAGAAGATGTTGAACAAAACCGGCCCCAGAACCGACCCCTGGGGCACTCTGCTTGATACCGGCTGCCAACTAGACATCAAGCCGTTGATCCCTACCCCTTGAGCCCGACAATCTAGCCAGCTTTCTATCCACCTTTATAGTCCATTCATCCAGTCCATACTACTTTAACTTGCTGGCAAGAATACTGTGGGAGACCGTATCAAAAGCTTTGCTAAAGTCAAGGTATATCACGTCCTCTGCTTTCCCCAAATCCACAGAGCCAGTTATCTCATCATAGAATGCAATCAGGTTGGTCAGGCATGACTTGCCCTTGGTGAATCCATGTTGACTGTTCCTGATCACCTTCCTCTCCTCCAAGTGCTTCAAAATGGATTCTTTGAGGACCTGCTCCATGATTTTTCTGGGGACTGAGGTGAGGCTGACCAGTCTGTAGTTTCCCAGATTCTCCTTCTTCCTTTTTTTTAAAGACGAGCACTATATTTGCCTTTTTCCAATCAGCTGGGACCTCCCCCAATCGCCACAAGTTTTCAGAGATAATGGCCAATGGCTCTACAATCATATCATCCAACTCCCTCAGCACCCTCGGATGCATTGCATCCGGCCCAATGGACTTGTGCATGTCCAGCTTTTCTAAATAGTCCTTAACCTGTTCTTTCACCACCGAGCGCTGCTCACCTCCTCCCCATACTGTGTTGCCCAGTGCAGCAGTCTGGGAGCTGACCTTGTCTGTGAAGACCAAGGCAAAAAAAGCATTGAGTACTTCAGCTTTTTCCACGTCATCTGTCTCTAGGTTGCCACCACCATCCAGTAAGGGTCCCACACTTTCCCTGACCACCTTCTTGTTGCTAACATACCCGTAGAAACCCTTCTTGTTACCCTTCACATTCCTTGCTAGCTGCAACTCCAGTTGTGCTTTGGCCTTCCTGATTACACCCCTGCATGCTCAAGCAATATTTTTATACTCCTCCTAGTCATCTGTCCAAGTTTCCACTTCTTGTAAGCTTCTTTTTGTGTTTAAGCTCACTGAAGATTTCTCTGTTAAGCCAAGCTGGTCGCCTGCCATATTGCTATTCTTTCTGCACATCGAGATGGTTTGTTGCTGCACCCTCAATCAGGCTTCTTTAAAATACAGCCAGCTCTCCTGGACTCCTTTTCCCCTCATATTAGCCTCCCAGAGGATCCTGCCCATCAGTTCCCTGAGAGAGTCAAAGTCTGCTTTTCTGAAGTCCAGGGTCTGTATTCTGCTGCTCTCCTTTCTTCCTTTTGTCAGGATCCTGAACTCGACCATCTTATGGTCACTGCTGCCCAGGTTGCCACCCACTTCTACTTCCCCTACCAATTCTTCCCTGTTTGTGAGCAGCAGGTCAAGAGGAGCACGGCCCCTAGTTGGTTCCTCCAGCACTTGCGCCAGGAAGTTGTTCCCAACACTCTCCAAAAACTTCCTGGATTTTCTGTGCACTGCTGTATTGCTCTCCCAGCCTCACTGTTTGAAGTCTCTGAGTGGTTAATTGCTCCCTGGTTGTTGGGGTGGAGCTGAGCAGGGAGGAGTAGGATAAAAAGTCAATTGCTTGGCAAACTTGTGAGCCACGAACAGAAGCTGCTAACAGGAGCGTTTCAGAGGGAGTTTGGCAGGGAGTGTGAGAAGCTCTCCTACTAAGAACAGTTCTGCACTCAAAAACATGATGCCCAGCAGTTCAACAGTGGTTGTAACCTGCAACGGATGTGCCATGTTTTATTTTCTGCCTGAAGCCAGAAAGGACTTCCTGTCTATGAAGTGCAAGTTGGTGACTCAGCTGGAGGAGAAGATTCATGGATTGAAAGGGTGAGTAGAGGCTCTACTGAGAATCACAGAAGCTGAGGAGTTCCTGACAGCCAGGTTTGGGAAACATCACTACCCCAGATTCAAGGAAGAAGGAAACTGGCCACCAAGGAATCAGTGAGAGGAGAGCAGAGAGGAGGCCTGGCAGTTTGTAACCACCAGAGGCAATATCAGCATCAAATATTCTATAGTCCTGCCTTACGTATCATTGCTAAATATTACGTAGTCCTGTCTTGAGTGCAGGAGACTGGACTAGATGACCTCTCGAGGTCCTTCCAGTCCTATGATTCTATGGTGCTCTCCATGTCTAGAAGCGGAGAGGATGAGCAGGCTGTGGCCATGAGGGGGAAGAGGATCAGTAAGAATTCCACACAGCTATAAGTTTCCCTTCAATACCAGTGTGACGGGTTGTCACCCTTGGGGTGCAGTCTGGGAGCTATGAGAAACCGCCGTGCCCCCCTAACCACTCAGTTGGGTTGGCCCTGCCCACACTCTGCTTCCTAAGTTGGAGACACAGCCAGCCTAACCCAGGCCTTGTTATCACCCAACATGACAGCAGGTGGCACCACTCACCCAAACTGAACTACCTGAGAGTGCTTACCTAAGCCACTCAAGTACAAACAGCAGACAGCAGCCAATTTCCCAGCTTCCCAGACTCTCACTCCCCACTGGGGTATAAACCCAAAATTAATCCGTCTGGCGCTGCACAGAGATCTGTACAGCATAAACTCATAGAGTTCACCACTCCCTCAAAGTGGAGAGGAAATGCAACAGCCCCGCCCCTTGAGCTAAGATTTTCAAGCACTTCACTCCAAACTTACTGGTTTAGATTAAAACATAAAATAAGTTTATTAACTACCAAAAGATAGATTTTAAGTTATTATAAGTGATAGCAAACAGATCAAAGTAGATTGCCTAGGAAATAAATAAAAACGCAAACTAAGCTTAACATACTAGATAGGTGTCTCACCCTGACTGATGATACAAGCAGATTTGTAAATTCTCAAGGCACAAGTTGCACTTACTTAGAGTTTATGCTCCCCAGGTTTCCATACACAGGCTAGCAATCCCTTTAGCCTGGGTCCAGCACTTCCCCCAGTTCAGTCTTTGTTCCTCAGGTGTTTCCAGGACTCCTCTTGTGTGGGGAGTGAAGAACAACAAATGATGTCACTCCCTGCCTTATATAGCTTTTGCATATGGTGGGAACCTTTTGTTCTCAAAACTAAGTTCCCAGCTCAGTTTCTGAAAAAATACAGGCACAATATGGAATTCAGTGTCATGTGGTCTGGTCACATGCTCTCGCTGGGTCATAGCAGCCATTAC